TGAGTATACGAGAAGACTGCAGTTGTTGGAAGATCAGATTGCTACCCTGATGAGTAAGAATGCTCTTAATCTGAATGCTGCGAGCATGTGTCTGGTGCCAGGCCTTGTGATGCCTCCAAAGTTCAAAATGCCGAATTTTGAGAAATACAAAGGGGATAGTTGTCCGAAGCTACATTTGTTTATGTTCTACAAAAGAATGACTTCACATGTTACCAATGACAAGCTTATGATTCACTGTTTCCAAGATAGTTTGATCGGAGCATCTTTGGATTGGTACATGCAGTTGGAGAGTGATAGCATCAAATCATGGTCGGACTTAGCCAATGCCTTCGTGAAGCAGTACAACTACAACCTGGATATGGCTCCTAGTCGCGTGCATTTGCAAGAATTATCTCACGCGGAGAAGGAATCCTTTATAGGGTATGTGCAGAGATGGAGAGAATTGGCTACTCGTGTTCAACCACCGCTTCTGGAGAGAGAAATGGTTGACCTCTTCTGGGGTACTCTGAAGGGCCGTTATTATGACATAATTTTCAGTTGTGGAACGTCAAGCTTTGCGAACTTGATAAGAATAGGAGAACGTGTTGAGAGCGGAATCAAGAGCAGAAAGATTCGAGACATTCCTTATACTTCAGTTTATGAAGATGAATCAATTGTCAGTTCTCAAGAAGAATGGGAGAAAGAAAGTGATGTCATCCCGGAATCTCTCGTACCTCAGATTCAAGGTTCAGACACTTCGAGTATTCAGAGTCAGCAACCTGTTGGGTCTGTATGTCAGATCTCTGTTACCTGCCAGAGTCAATAGTCGTATCTTCGTCAACTGCGTCAGCACGCCCGACGAAGACCAAGGAAGCCTGAAAGGCAGTTTACTCAACTACCGGTGTCATACAGTCAGTTGTTGCCATATTTGGTCAAAGGTGGACTGATAGTGCCGAAAGAGACTAATCAATAATCCTGCCTTACCCTCCAGGTTTTGATATCAACGCCCGTTGTGAGTACCATGTTAGGGCACAAGGGCACTCAACTGAAGACTGCAAGGTGCTTCGAAGCCAGATTCAGGCTTTGCTAGACTCTAACAGGATATCTATCACGCCTCAGGGTGTTCTGATTAACGACCTTCCTTCATCCAGCCAAGTGGGTGTATCAGTTCAGGCTATGGGAGAGTTCACTGAGAACAGATGTTCAGAGGAGGATCAGGATGACTTCGACAGCAATTCTGAAGATGGATGACTCAGCAGCAAATTAAGTTCGAAAAGCCCGGTTCCCAAAAACTGGCAATCTTTGTTTTATCATGTCATTTCTTTGCATTTGTAGTTTCTTTTCTGTTAAAGCGTAAATTGCATTCGTAAAACCTGTATTGTTTTCAATTGATACTGATAATGAAATGAGTATGCATGTTTTAATTTAATCCATTCGTGTTCACTCAATGTTTAACTGACATCCAATGCTTGGTTAAGCGGAATCCGGGGAAGATGACGAAGTTTAAAGGACGCGCAAGCTTCCGATTTTATGCTTTTGAAAGTAAAACCTGCTGATGATGTACAGACATTGTTTCAAATCCCTAAACACCGGAGATATAAGGAAGATAATCCCTTGTCAACCCTTTAAGCCTAGTAGTAGGAGTTTCTTTTGGAAAACGAAAAAACCCTCAATCTTAACCCGGGGCAGGGTAGGTGTTAGCTAATTTGACTGAGCGTCCAAATTGTAGAAAGGAGTGTTCGTTCGAGGACCAATCACACCTCTAGAGGTCGTGCCTAAAAAAAACCACAGTGGTTAAGCGTCAGGAGTGAAACAGTCACATTATTCCCCAAAGAGTCAGACAACCAGTGTCACACGACTTGTTCAAAAAAAAAGCAAAAAGAATCAAAAGTCTGCTAAGTCAAAACTTGAAAACAAATGACTTAGGTAAAAATGAGGGCATCCCGCTGGACTTAATAATCAAAAGATGCTTAAAAGAGTCAGTCCAGGCAAAAATTAGGGAAAGCGAAAGAACTGGAAAAAAAATGAAAAGGATTACAAAAGAAAAATCCTCAAACGAAATACAAGTCGTGTGACCCCAAGTGGCAGAGACGAAAAGTGAGTGGCTCTCACTCCAAAAACTCATGGTTTCTCGAACTATCACTCATATCTTTCAACCTCTGAGAAGTGAGCGCTAAGGTCAAATTAGCTAAACGTAGGATGGGAGAACATCAAGGTGAACGGGTGGGTTAAAATAAATTTTGAGCCTTTATCCTTTCCTTCAAAACCGTGAACCTGACCACGTTACAACCGGAAAAGTCCTAATTGAAGCAGGTTCGATTCGAAGGCATACTTCGGTAAAGATCGCGTCAAAACTGACTCCTAAAAGGGTTCTTCTTACCATGTTGGTACTGATGTTGATATTCTGATAAATGATTTATTCATTATATGCCATAAACTATTTTTTTCCTTTTCCAGTGAATAGATTGGATGTCAAAACTGTCATATGCGTTGCATTTGATATGTCTTTTATGCAGAACAACTTGTTTCACTTGCAAGTAAGCGCTTGACAGATGGAAAGTTTCCGACAGATGGAAAGTTTCCTACAGTGCAAAGTCTGATCAGGATAGAATGCAGAACGCCCGAATACTCCGTGAACCGGGGCAAGCTATATCAAGTAGTCCCTAGTGACGTCAGCCATCCAAAGCCAGTTATTCCGGGGCAATCAGGTCGAGATTCGATAAATCTCTCGAAGCCAAAAATTTTACTCCAAATTAGCCAATCAGGGGCAAAGTCGTTGCAGACAGGGGCAGGTCACTCTAAGAAAAGCGTAGGAGTTGTTTCTTGCCCGAGGGGCATTGGATCCGAAGCATATCTCCGAGGTTCAGAGTGCTGGGGCAGTTCATGTCAGACCATCAGGGTACAAATTTTCAGGTATCCATTCGAGGAATATCCCCACAGAGATCCCACAGACTGGGGCATATCAGAAGCAAAGGAATTGTTCCTCTCCGTGTCACCAGAGCTACTCAGAGCTACTCAAGCAGGTTCAGCCAATCTTCAAGTGTGAGACGAATTTCGGGAAGTCGTGCTATTATCCCTTGACCCTTTAACCAGAAACCGTGAATTCATACAGGATGTTTTCCAGCGTCAATCGTACTTGACCCATCACGGATAGCCTAAAAGCCCAATTCCTATTGGCAATCATCAGGAAGCACAATCCTTATTGGCGCGCCATTCCTAAAGCCCAATCCATATTGGCAATCACTGTGAGGCCCAATCCGTGTTGGCGCATCAGTCTCGAAATCCAATCTTCATTAATACACAGAAAGACTCCGTCAGTTTTCCCCAGCAAAAGTCCAATTTTCATTGGCACGGGTAAGCTATCCCCAGGGAAGTCCAATCATACTTGGCACCTTCTGTTATTCCCCAGCGGAGTCAGTTCACCTTTCCAGCATTTATTTTGCTGGAATAATTCTGTGATACCCGGTTATCCCCAGCGGAGTTGGCTTCACCTAAGATTAATGTGAGTAATGAGGTTTGAAATAAATTATCTTTACCTGAAATTCCAACTTCTTTTGCTCCATTTGATGTGATGAAACACAAGATTGAATATTTAGAGTGATAGTGTGGATTGAGAATGAAATGGTTTTTGGTGATGGTTTTGAGTAGAAAATAAGTATGCATATGGAATCATACAACTCAGTGTTTTATCAACTATTTCGGAAGATGCATATCTGAAAATATCTGACGTGCAAAGTTATTAGGAAATTTCAAAATCTCATCCTAAACTTTCAACAATGCATCTCCAGAATAACCACGGAACTGATCAACTATCAATATATTTGTCGAAATCATCCGAAAATGTACCTCCGAAATTAATTTTAGTGTTCATCTAAGGTGTCACTCCTTTATTACGTCATAACATTAGTGTATGATGCGTCCGAAAATACATCCCTAAAATTTAAAAAACTTTTTCATAGGATGTCATGTTTTTCCATCCTATAAGCTACTATAAAAAATTCTCTAAATCGTGTATGTCAGTTTATCGCAACCTGATATATTTCCATTCTAGTCGTCACTAATTGCTAAAAGATGGTCCAATCTAAAATTTTATTCATTTAAATACTAAGAAAAAAATTAATTTTATTTAATTGAATATTAATATGAAATAACAAATGTCTTTGAAGTATTGGTTAAACAATTTTCTTTATTATATTAACAAATATTTGACTTCTACTAAAACAAAATTTCCTTTTCTATATCCATTAACTATAATGCTCTAATGATATTAGTCAACATAACTTAAGTGTGTAGATTCTATCTCTCGAATACGTATCATGATTAAAATCTTTAAATAATTAGAGTAAAATAATTGAATGAATTCAATCATTTTGCAATGATATAAACTTTTTGTGCCACCAAAAAAAGAATTTGATGAAGACAAACAAAAAATTAAAAATTACTGGTAATCACAATCAATACCATATATAAGAGAAGTTATTGGAACTATTAATGTAGTGCCCATGCTCTTATGTTTTTTGTAAACAAAGTGCCACTACTTTTACAACATAAAGTTGTAAACCATACACCCAAATGACACATACTCACTTAGTATAGTAACGTATTATTTTAAATTTTAATATATATATATATATATATATATATATATATATGTATATATATATACATATATATATATATATATATATATATATATATATATACATATATATATATATATATATATATATATATATATATATATATATATATATATATATATATATATATATATATATATATATATATATATATATATATATATATATATATATATATATATATATATATATATATATATATATATATATATAAAAGTTGAACTACTTCATATATCGAAAAAAAAAATTAATTAAATTTTAAAAAATTACTCATAAAATAAAATATTTATTCACTATAAAAAAAGTATAGTACTCATTGCATTACCATTTTTATTTATTAATCTTACCTATTTGCATTTTCATACACTTATATCCAATCAATTAGACATAGTTGCTTTCATCACTAAGTACAGTCTTTTCTTTTTTTCCACTTCCACACACAATATCAAGATTGTAAAACACTATCAACATAGCCAAAAAGCACAACAAAACCAAGACAGGCCCAAATATCCAAAGCAAAAGTGGAAGTGCAGAGTAGAAAATCCTATTCCCAATAGTGTTCAAAGTTGTTCCTCTCTCCAAAATATCTACCAAATATTCAGGAGTAACCAAAGACATAACATCTTGTGGTGTGCAAATTAGGAGGCTTAATTGGTTGAGAAACCTAATTGAGAGACTGTGGCAGAAAAATGAGAATAAAAATATGGTAAGAAGTGTCACATATTTAAGTGCTACCATAAACTCGCCGTGAGCGCCATAGATAACATCTTCGAGAGGCTTTTTAATAGTGTAAGTGCTGCTTATTATAGCGGCTAAGCCAGCTGATAGTAGAATTGATGTGGTGGCCATCAGAGTTGATCCCATTATAAGATTTCGAAGACTTTGTGCTACTAGGATATTCTTCTTTTCGATATCCTGAAATTGAAATAATGTTTTGTGCATTAGAATTTATAATTGTTTTGAAATACATGATCGGATTTAGATATACAAATAATATATAATCGATAGTATATACCTTCAACATGGTAGGAACCCAAAATCTTCTAGCATGAGCGTTGATTCCAATTGAAGTGGAAAAAGGTTCTGATCGAGTCTTATGCCACAACCATACATGATAACCAATACTTATCAGAAAACCTAATGGTACAAGAATCATGTCCAAATAATATGTTTTCCATTCCATTTTTTTCTTTCTTTCTTTTTTCTAACTCTTTGTTGTTGTTATTCTTTTAGATTATTTCTTCTAGCAATGGAGTTCTATATATAATGGAAAATCAGGTGCGTGTGGAACAAAGGAAAAAGCAAAAATAATGGAAGTGGTTTCCTAGGAAAATAAGTAACATGGTGTCAACTAAATTGAATAAAGCAAGATATGTCGTGTTAGTGTTGTGAAATCAACTTTAGTAAGAGTCCTCTTTTAATTTGGTTTAGACTTATGTAAGTTGAGAATTGTCTACACTAATAAACACACATGAGTGGAATGAGGATTATTTTTTTTATGAGCCAATAAAATAAATTATAATATTTAAATTAAATATAAAAATTATATTGTATATAAAGATTTAAGTTATAATAATCACAAAGTTGATTATTAGAAAAATAAATTACATGTCTTAAAATAATATTTTATATGTATTGAGTGACTTGAAATCATTAATAATAGAGTCTGAACTAATACATGCAATAATTTCTCTTTCAATATAAATAGTCATGCTATATGCTAGAAACTGACCTTTCATCTTGTTTTGCAACTTAATCTTGATAATTTAAATTGCAGAAAAAAATCTTTCAGTTGTGACAATAGAAACTGTAAGAGTCATAATAAGACAGAGTAGTCTATCAATTAAGAAGTCAATTTTATTCCAGTTAGTTGCAACCAAACACGAGCATAATTTTTAAATAGTTGATAAATTTTTCAAATCTATTGATTGGCGAGCATCAACAAGAAATTGTCAAAGCAGAAATTACAAAGTAATCTTCTCTTACTCACATAGGATAATATTTTTCAACTAGAGTGAAAATAGTATCAATGCTAAAAGCTTTATAACTACCTTAGGATTCAAAGCATAACTTATAGTTAACAAATCCATTGCTTGCTAGCTAAATCTACTATTCAACTCTTGTAATTATTGATCAATAATAGCAAAAAAATATTTCAACTTTAAAGTAATGTTCTAGTGTGACCTGATTCTCTGCAAGACGAGTGTGTCCATATCTTGCTGTTGAATGATTATCATCAAGATTAGGATTCTCAATATCGTGTCTCACACAATAAGACGTCACATTAGCATGCAACTTATCCCAACCATTTTCTCTTAGCTCTTGAATAAGAGTTTTTGTTGCACGAATTAAAATCATAACATCAACCACATCCTAATATTGTTGTTGTAAAGCTTGACAAAGCACATCTGTTATACCCATAATTTCTTTCATCAAATATAAGATCAATATAAAATCAAATTCCTTCAAGTAATTGTAACCACTATCACCATCCCCATGTGTATTATAGTTTGCTCCTTCCTTTGATAATGTTTTTAAAACAAGACAAGTTGCGTTAACATATTAATCAAGCTACAAATAGAATTGAAATGCGATCCCCAACGAGTAGTCTCAGCTCGATTCAAATTAGCAATTTGATTTTCACCTTTACCAGTAATGATCTCATCAATCTCCAAAAAATGCTCAATTTATTTTAATTGGGCTTCTTGTAACTCATCACGTCGCTTTGGTGAAGAAAAAACAACAATGACCACATAAGTTAGCTTTTCAAAGAATTTATTTATTGGTTTGATTTCTCTTGAAGAAGTAACTAAAGCAAGTTGCAATCGACGAGTAAAATAATGGACATAGTATGCATAAGGACAATCCTTCATAAATAGTGTTTGTAAACCATTCTATTCTCCTCTCCTATTACTTGCACCATCATACCCTTTGCCATGAAGGTTAGAAACATCAAGGTTATGTCGAGAAAGTATATCGCATACTGTTTTCTTAAGAGTAAATGTCGTCGTATCATTCAAATGTGCCACATCAAAAAACTGCTATTGTATTAAACTAAATTTATCAACAAATCTTAAAACAAGAGCTATTTTTCCTTGTTTGACTTATCACGGGCTTCGTCTACAAGGATAAAAAATTTGGAATCACTAGTCTATTCACGAATATGATTTCTAACCCTAATAGCAATAATTTTCAAAAGCTCTTTTTGAATTTTATGTGATATATATTTTTGCCATTTTGTGGGGCATTATCCAACATAGCTTTTGCTACTTCATCATTATAAGATGCCAAGAGTTTTAGAAACTCAAGAAAATTACCTTGGTTTTTTTACTTGCTAGATTCATCATTGCTCCTAAAAGCACAAGCTTGAAGTGTCAACCAACGAACAGTTTCGATTGAAGCCTTGAGACATAATCAATTCTTCTTTCTTTAGCTTGAGCTTTGCTTTTGGAAAACATTCTCAATAGATCTTCTTTATTCAAAAAGTCTTGATAAGCTTCCATAACATGGAAAGCAATATGTGGCATCCTTTGAAGGTGAATATTCTAGCCATGAATTAAAGATTTCAAACAAAGTTTCTTGAAACCGTCTTGGATGATCATTTTTGCCGGACAAAGGATATTCTTCTAAACAGATTTGATATGGACCCCATTTCATATAAGCTCTTAGTATTTGATTGACTTTATTTGGTGAATATTCCTTTTCATGATGTTTTGATTATTGTATGATAGTGGGTTATGTGTCATTAAGTTTGGAGTGAAGAGAAATATTAGAGGAGAATAGATTAATTGGTTAATATGTGAAAATTGATAGTTTAGGGGAAATATGATGTTAATAATAGTTTTATACTATTATTCAATTAAAATAATAAGAAAAATAAAATAATTAGAAGTGTGGATATTTAAGGGGCAATGAGGTAATTGTATATGGATAAGTGAGGGCATATGAGGGAAAACATAGAAATGGTCTAGTGTTACTAGATAAAAAGGGAAGATAGAGAGAAGTGAGATATTATTCTGTTAGTACGTGAAAAATTAAGAGAAATGAGAAGAGAAGCTAGGGAAAAGGAGAAAGCAAGAGAGCGTCCATCCATAGTCTTGGAAGAAAACAAATTTCTAGAAGAATTCTAAGGTAAGGGTGAGTAATGGATTTCAATTGTGATTGGCATGAGGGAAAAGTAGAATAGGGTTTTAGTTTTTATTTTGGTTGATAATGTTGAATATACATGTTTGATGATGAATGGTAGTGGTATGTGATTGAATTGTTATTGTGTTCTTGAGTTGGGTTGAATATACATGATTTTAGGGCATGAGTTGAATGAATGAATCATGATGGATGTGATGAAAAATTATGTTAATTGAGTTGTTGGTTATGTATATATTTATGTTGTAATGTGCTTCTTTCACTTTATTCGTGTACTATATGATATGACATGTTTTTGGGTTGTTAGAGGTTAAAATATGGGGTTTAGGGTCTGTTGCAAGCCTGAAAAATAAGATAGATCGCACAAAATTGTGAGAAAATGGGGGTTTTCTAGGCACTACTACGGGGCGCACAGCTACTACGGGTGGCCGTAGCAACCCCTTGGATTTTGGCACCAGGGATGTACCCAAAGTGAATTTTTGGCATAGGAGTGCTACAGGTCGTAGCCGCTGCTACGGGCGGCCGTAGTAGATCCCTGAAATTGGTTTTGCAAAATTATTTCGACCATAACTTTGTAACCATAAGTCCAAATCGAGTGTTGTTCGAAGGGTTGGAAAGCTAACATAAATTACTATCAAATGAAATTACTTCCAGAGGCTGATCATAATAATTAGTTGATACTTTTTATATTTAAAAGAAATATTGAACTTGAAACTTGTATATCTTCTGACATTTTTGTTATATCTTTTTAACCGTATATCCATGTGACAAGCCATTTGAAGTGTTAAAAAGCTGACACTCAGAGTATAACTTAGTAGTAGTAAGTGAAATTTTTAAATACTATTTTTATGACTACTGTATTAATGAAATGTTAGTTTACATGTTCGGATAATGAATCGTTGCATTGTTATGCTAATATTATGTGATAATGATGTTGCTATGTTGATACTATTCTGATGATGTTGATATGATATGATGTTGATGATGTTGATGATTTTGATATGATGTGATATTGATGATTTTGATAGGATGTGATGTTGTTGTTATGATGTGATATTGATGATGTTGTTGTAATAATGGTATTAATGATGTGCATGTTCTAATATATGCATGATGTGTTTATGATGATTATGTTGATGGTGGCATACACATTCATAAGAGGGGCCAATGTGTATGTGTTATTATTGCATGTTATGATTCATGCATCTACGTTGTCGGAACTTCGATTCTATTTATGTTGTGGCCTCGATCTTATGGTGGGGATCGGGTGCGAGTAGCTAATTCCTATGGTGGGGGATTAGTGAAGCGTTACCTATGATGATGGTAACGAGTTTTGGTGAACATCAATCCAATGTGATGGATCAGGTGCGAGTAGCTAATTCCTATTTTGGAGGATTAGTGAAGTGTTACCTATGGTGATGGTAGCAATTTGGTGTGCTCCAGTTCTAACAGGGAATCGATCCTATGGTACGGATCATAGTGTGAAACGAACCTAAGTGTTCATAATTTGGTACCACATGCATTGATTCAATGGTGTTGGATTAGTATTCTATGTGGCATTGCATAATTTTGTTGGTGTTATATGATGTGGTGATACTTGTGAATGTTATGTGATTATATGTGAGCCTTATGATGGAAGTTGTATATGAGTTATTTATGATGCTTGGGGTGTGAGTTTATGATATGTTGATGTTGTTGACTTGTTGCAAATTATTGTTGCAATCTATTATTTCTTATGTCTATTATAATTGATTATGGTTACTCACTCCTTCTGTTTGAATGTTGTCTCCATGTGGGTAACGCGTAGGTAATTAGGAGTAGACTCCAAGGAAGTAAGTGGAAGCTAGCTATTGGAGTTCGTTTCATTTTTTCATTTAAGTAGGAGGGATTCAACTCTGATTCATGTAACATTGGGTTGGGGTTGACGTTTTCCTTCTTGATTTCTTATGTTGTTTATTTCGCAGTATTTGCTAATAATTTCATGGTGATATTATAAGATTTTGAATTAAGTGTTTACGAAACTTATCTTTTGTTGATGTT